GGAAGCTTTTATTTTTCTGATTGTACAACTCACAGAATCTCCCTTCCAGTCTCAATAAGTAACTTCTTCAAGATCTGATATGCTGCTGTTTGCTCTCCAGCCAGCAGAAGCGGCCGGTTGGAAAGTTTTCCGCTGGAAATGATGGAGGCAGCAAAGGACCACCAAGATTTAATTTTCACCTTGAATTCATCCTGTAATTTGGACAGAACAATGGGATGTCAGAGTGAAGTGCCAGACCAACCGTGGGGCAATGGAAGAAGGTTGTCTGGTCTGATGAATCACATTTTCTTTGAGATCAGGTGGATGGCCAGCTGCATGGGAAGAGATGGCAGCAGGATGCACTATGGAAAGAAGGCCGGCCAGCGGAGGAAGTGTGATGCTCTGGACAATTTTCTACTGGGAAACCTTGAATCCTGGCATTCATGTGGTTGTTAATTTGATACGTACCACCTACCTGGAGATTGTTGCAAACCATGTCCACTCTTTTATGGCAATGGAGTCCCCTGATAGCAGGGTCCTCTTTCAGCAGGATAATGCACCCTGTCACACTGCAAAAATAGTTCAGGAAAGGTTTGAGGAGCATGACGAATTCCCCAGATCTCAATTGTCCAGGCAGAAGGAGTGGGAGACCATGTCTTTTGCTTCAGTTACCAAAATTGCTAGTTCCATCTCTGCTTACTATCTTCTTGGAAGATTAGCAGCAGCTGTGAGATCATTTGGAGGGCTTGTAATTAGCCTTTGAGTTTATCTGTCACATCCTCCCTTGCTTTAACTTTTCTACTCTCTGCCCTTGAGTGAACTCTCATTGTTGCTGTGGGAGACAAAATGGCTTCTGTACACATATCAGAAGGGGGTGCTTGAATAGAAAACTGTCCAGCTGAAGACCTATACGGAAAATAATTATGTTTACCTGAACAACATGCAGAGGCCAATGAATGCTTCCTTATGATTTGAGCAGCCTGTTTGCACCAGATTTAAGAAAGATTAGCTAAAGATTATGCACTTTTTACAACCAGAAAGGAGAAGGGAGAAACAGTAGAAGAGAAAGTACAGGAGAAAGTAACAGATGTCACCAGAGTAGAGATGGGCATGAACCAGCTTGTCCTGGTTCATGAAGACAGTAGCACAGGTGCTACTGCTCCCACCCCCCTCTTCCTCTGGCTCAATCAGCCTCTCACCGGGCTCAGCCTTTGTGATCTTCAGCTGATCTTCCAGTTCTGGCAATAGCTCAGGCTTCTCTGCCTCACCCTCTTGGCTGATCTCCCAATCAGAGAAAAGGGCGGGGCAGAGAAGTCTGTGCTGTTGCTCATGACTGGGGGATTAGCTGAGGAGGTGGGAAAAGCAAGCAAGCAGGGCCTGGTGAGGGGCTGGATTGGCTGAGGAGGCAGGAGAAGAGAGAAGCAGCAAGGGTGATGCCACCTTTATGAACTGGGACAAACTGGGACAAACTGAATCGTGCCCATCTCCAGAATCTACTGCAGTTTGGTCTTTAGCCCTTAAAGGGCCCGTTTTGTGGCATTCGGCTGAACTCCGACTCCTCTAAACGTTTCGCTGTGGAGTTCCTGACAAAACGGGGGGTGGCTTGAACAAACGCTTGGACTTTTAAAAAAGATGGTTACTGTTGATGAGAACAGCTTAATTTTTAACTTTTCAAAACCAAAAGTTGTTGTTTGGGGGTAAAAGGGTAGGTACCTCTCGCAATTGCTAACAACTCTGACCAACAGACTAGGTCTTTTGTTAACTAGGACGTTTCATTGGAGCAAACTCTTCTTGGATAGATCACCATACGAACATAAGAAGAGCCCTGCTGGATCAGGCCACGGGCCCATCTTGTCCAGCTTCCTGTATCTCACCGTGGCCCCCATCGGATGCCTCTGGAATCACGAGACGAGATACAGTACCTGTCTCCTGATACCACTCCTCTGCATCTGGCATTTGGAGGTGCCTTCCTTCTAAGCCTGATATGTCCACATTGATGTGGGTTGATCTTCAGTTCAGGCCAGAATACAAGCTCAGTTTTATATTTTCCATGACAGTATTTTAAAGCACAGCACAGCATGGTGCTTATATACTGCTCTATAGCACTTAAAAGGGCTCTCTGGGCAGTTTACAGTTTAATTATTCAGGCTGCACATTGCCCCTCTAGTGAGCTCTCGGGCACTCAGTTTACCAGTTTCAGAAGGATGGAAGACTGGGTCAACCTTGAGCTGGCTATCTGAGCCTGTTGGGATCAAACTCAGGTCATGAGCAATCTTTGATCGCAGTACTATACTGCAGTTTAACCACTAAGCTTCACCACTTTCAGAGCTGGTTTCTATAGCTTATGGTTTTGCCTTACATTTTATATTGTGAGCATTCACATGGCACACATTAGCAGAGGAAGCCAATTGTGAGTTGAGTGGACTCCAATTAATACCTAAATTCCAAGTTGCTTGTGTATTGGAAAGCCTTCTTAACTGACATGTCAGTCATCCATTCCACAAGATTTAGGATACATTAAGACTCCCTGGAAAAGACCCTGATGTTGGGAAAGAGTGAAGGCAAGAGGAGAAGGGGATGACAGAGGACGGGATGCTATCACATTGGCCACTGAAATGTCGGAGGAGGAAGGAGTCAAACAGGACATTTCACCACTGCAGGCAAGAGCTGGGACTTAACCAACACACCAGAGAGGGGAAATTTAACCACTGTTTAGTTATCTGGCTGCAGAGCCAGAGGTTGGTTCGCCACTGTGCCTGCAGGGACAAGAGCCAGCCTGTGTGGCCTTGGGCAAGCTTCAGAGTCCCAGGTCACCCCCAGAAGAAGGGACTGGCAAACCATTTCTGAATACTCTCTATCTAGAAAAACCTAGAAATGTTGCTGTAAGTCAAAATTGACTAGACACCCAGTTACTGTTACACAATCATGCATGTTGACAAATTATGGATTTTGAGCTATGTCTGAAGACTGCTGGGAGTCTCTGGTTTATCCGTTGATATTATTATTTTCTTCTAGAAGAAGACACGATGAGATTACAGAATGCCAGTCGTGCTCTCTTCTCCTGTGTGGCATTGCTGGCAATTTCCTCTCACATCACACCTGCAGGAGCCGGATTAGAGCTGGTGAATGGGTGCTGCTGGTCACAAAACAGTGAAGCAGTAAATTGGGTAAATGGACAGTGTGGCAGCCGTAGGCAAATAGCCATCACTCAGTTTGTAGCAGCCCAGATGCCCGATGGTTATTTCGCCCCAAATCCATAATTTGTCAGCATGAAACAGGCCACACACAGAGCCTGGAATGTTGCTCTGAGTATGGGACTTGGATTCTTACTTGCTATTTTGAGACATTCAGAGAGCTGTTGTTATAGTTAATGCTGGTGATGTGTATCATTGGCACTCTGTGGTGGTATTACCAGCGTTCCAGCCAAATATAGATAATACTCTGGTTCCCTCTACTGGTCAGTTCTGACAATCCTTTAGGAAGCAACACAAAACAATACTAAATCTGGCAGGAGAATTTCTTCTAAATATTACATACAGAATTTCTTTTAGAATGCTCTGAAAAATAATTTTGGAAAGTAATCAGGAAATGTTACTCAGCACACCAATAAAATAAAATTCATCCTGTCCATTTCATTTGACAAATCATGTACATACTGTGCATGTTGGTAAGAAGATAGGAAGCTACCTTACGCAGATTCTTGGGGCATATTAGATCAATATATTCAACACTTACTGGCAGCAGATGTTCAAATAGGATTCTTTTCTAGCCTTACCTGAGGCCTTCTGCGTACAAATCATGTGCTTTACCACTGAGCTAAACCCTATCCCCCAATATCTGTGGATGCAGCATTGATCCCTCTGTCCCAGGCAGCCAAATGTCTTGGGCTGACCTTAGTAAAAGTTAAAGTGTAAACCTAATCTCAGGACGAGCAATGTTGAAGTTAGTGGTTAAAGATGCACCAGTTCTGGTCTGAATTGTACTGGTTCACCGGTACAAATAGTGGGTCTGTCCAGAAGATCTCTTCAGCTTCAGGGTTAAGAGCCATCCTGCTGGGAATTCCATCAGGAATAGCCCGTCAACCACCTCAAATCATGTTGCTGTGTGTTTTGCTCAAAGCACTTCTACAATGCTCATTGCACAATAGCACTCATCTTTTGAAAATGCAACTTTCACAAGTCAGCGATGAGACCAGATGGCAGTGTAAACACATAACAGCTGACATATGTCTACCCACAAAAGAAGCATCAACAAAGCCCTCCACAAGGCATGGCATTCCTTTGGATAGGTGGGCACAATTTCTGAAGGATACTAATTTTGGGACCAAGAATCATGCACGTACATTTGCATTCTGCTATTAGAGTGCGGGGTCATGGGAGGCCCCTAGGCAACCCTAATGGACCAAAGATAGGGCGAAGTTTGTGAAAGAGCTCTCACGGAAACAGATAAGCAGGAGGGGTGCTGAATGTTTCCTTTTCATAGGAAAAAAAATCTGAATGCAAATCAGAGTGGATGGTGTTCACAAGCCCCTAACCAACTAGGACCAACTAGGAGGGAAAGAGGAGCACGGTATCTGCCCTCCCATCCCCTCTGTGCATGCCTGCAAGCTCATCCAGCAACATACGTGGCCATCCAAGATACAGGGAAAGACGAGCACAGTATCTGCCCTCCCATCCCCTCCAGCAACATACGTGGCCATCCAAGATACTGGCACCAAAATGTTCCTGAACAGGGATCTGCGCAAAAGCCATGTGTGTGAATCCCGGAGACCAAGAAAAAGAACTATTTCTCCCTTTCGCTTAAGGCCTGCCCTCTCACTGTTGCCTGGACAAGTAGAGGAAAGCACAACTAACCAGGCTCTGGGGCAGCCCCCGATGAGGCTCAATTCCCACAGAATAAGACTCTCTGTTGATGAGCTGCAGAACACAAATTGTACTACACTGCTTTTCTCAAGAGATGAAGTAAAGATTCCCAAGGAATACTAGAATTCAAGTGGGCAGTCCCCAAAGAAGTAGAGCAGGGACATTTAATAAAGAGGCTTTATTATGCAAACAGGAATGTGATTATTCTCATTTACAATGGACTCTGAATGGAACAAATAATACACGATTTCAGTACCTAGATCGAGCAAAACATCTATTTACATTCAAGTTTACACATTTTCTTCAAGTCCCACACAGGAGACGATCAAAGTGTTTGGCTGTGTTCTGGACTATGTAGTCATGGGGGTGTGTGAAGGATGATGGGCATTCACCACCCTCTGAAAGATTTTTCTGCAGCTGTTCACCATCTGAAGGAATAAGCCATTTTAAAATGGATACATGGATTACTTTTTTTTACCAGTTGCATGCTGTCATGATGACACATTTCAAAACATCTTTGGTCACATGTATGCCTCCCCCTTTCCCGTAAATGAAGCAGTCAAGAAGCACACCATCAGTTATTTCTCAGATTCACAGCTTCTAATCTTCTACTAAAACCGCCCAAAGATGACGGAAAACAACCTATTACGATATGCTCCAGAAAAAATGTACTCTTCCTGAGTACATTTTTAGTTTCATTCTGGGAATGTGGTGGTCACAAGACCATTGTTTCTTTACTTTCTTGGTATCTATAGCCTGCCACGTAAAATGTCCCAGTTTCGTATTTACAAACAGCTGGGACTTCATTGACTCCTGACAGAAGAGCTTCTTCTGTCCCCTTTGTTCCAAAAATATGTATCTGAGCCAGTAATTTCGCCATAATCATATTTAACATTTAAAATGAAAAATTTACAGTAGAAAAATATTCAATAGTTCACAAACATGAAAAAAAATACTATAACATGCAACTAAATCCAGATTGTCCAGTTAATTTTGCTTACATTCTCACTAGTGTCAAGAAATATACTTACTGTACATGTCACATATTTGGCAATACTGGTGAAACCAGCACCTTCGTCAAGAAGACAGGAGATAATTGATTTTTCATTTATGTTCCAGTTGCAATGTAAACTCCATTCCCTCCCCCCAGTCAAAATTAACAACATTGGTTTCCGATTGCGTTTCCAAATTAGATTTTATATTGGCACTGGGAAACAGAAAGTAATATCCTGATGACCTCGTGTCTGATGAGAACCTCTGATTTTCTGTTCTTTCCAAAGACACACATTATTTTCAGTGCACAGCGCTCATCAGGTGGTTCACTGGCTTTTTGGAGATCCCCTCGACAAGCATTTGCTGATTCATTCAATATATAGCTGCCCCTGATATATGGAGTGTTGCCAATAAGAAAGAATTCAACCTTTTGTCATCAGATATTCCACAGAGATCTTCACATATCCACTGGAGCTGTTTCTTGACTTCATGTGGTACTCTCTTTCGTATTTGTGGTTTGAGAGCCAGCAGTGGGGGGCTGGACAGGTGCCCCTTCTAATTCAGATTCACGTATAAATATTACAGCATCTCCACTTACATTTATTAGGCACTGTGCCTGCAATAACAAGGAAGGAACATCTATTTATACAGCTGGCAGCTTTTAAAACTGACAGATTCTTATAACTTAAACACAGAATTCTGTAGCTCTACAGATCCTACAACAAAGGGCCCCTTCTTCTCCGACACCAACTAACCGAAAAGAGTTTTTGGATGTATGGCAACAGCAGCACTGACAAAACCACTAGCTTTCTACATATAGCAAGAGCAGTTTTCAATATTAACAAGTAATACAGTCAGCCACATGGGCTCCTATACAAATTTGCTCCACGTAAATTAATCTACTGCTACTCTGATACATTTACATAGGGATTGTTATCATCCTTAACATATTAGGTTTTGGAATCAATATCCTTTATGAACTATGATGCCCTAAACTAGGCAACCATGTATTTTCAGCAAAACACATCAATGCCTTGTTAATACATATAATTAGCAAATTTCCAGCGCTTGGGGAAAAAACATTTTTGACTGCGACTCCTAGAATTTTTGAGCTATCAATTCCAGTCGCTAGGCTAAGTAGAGAATTCAGGTAATAGCAGTTCAAAAACAGGTATTTTTACAAACCTTTGCAAATTCACCAGGGGCAAGGAGGACCTGTCCCTTTTGCTTGTGAAGCTCAACATAGGAGTCCTAAATCAGTGCCTTGATTCAGAAATGTGTTGCTTAACAGTTCTTGGCTGCTGACATTTGGTTTGCATTAAGAGCCTTGTCTGGACTCCGAAATGAATAGGTAATGCGGGCAAGGCTTCTCTCATCTTGGATTGCTTATATGCAAACAGGCAATGTTCATTCAAGCGCTATTTACCTGATTTTTGTTTGGGTTCTCCATAAACACACACTGTTTCATGATGTATGAGACAACAGCATTTCCCCCCAGAGCTGCTACATGAGCTCTGACCATCGCAAACACTTCTGCAATGAAAGCATGCAGGAAGCCACTTACGCCGCCCTCCTATATTAAGAAACACAACAAGAACCACGGATACACAAGGGATTCAGTGGAGAAAGCACCAGGACAAAAGAATCAATCATTACTTCTCTTTATTTTCAAAATTATTCTAACTTAGCGAAAGCTAAGTCCTGTATGCTTCAAAACAGCACACACATTTATCTAACAGTTTCCTAACACATTGTTTGGAGATTCATTCGTAGTTTTTATTATTATTAACTCAGCCTCCAGACCAATGAAGCAAATAAAAGCAACAGAAGCAATTAAGAGCCACAAATCGTATCCAAACCATAGAACTAAGAGATGGACTACAGGATGTGCTTATTTAATCCTCAGAAATATTTGGTGTTGTGGCTGTCATACAATAGTGCACATTAAGATCTGTTTCGAGATCTACAATACAGCTCTATGGGGTGCTTGAACAACCTACATTTGCTTTAGTACAATAGGACTCAGAGTGGCAGTGCTTTTATAATGAGTGCATGTTCACATTGGCTTAGGATTGCTCTTTTAAGTTTTATTATAATATTTTATTTGGAATGTTTGACCTTGTATTCCACTTTTGGTAATTCTGGCATATAAATAGGTTAGACATTCACAAAATAAGTTATAAAGGAATTAAACCAATTGTTGTGTCATTATAAAACTGCCATGGAGTTCAAGGAATGTTGGGTGGATCTCTGTGACCAGTAAGGCAATGGATTTGCACTCCAAGCCTCTGCTGTGTTCCACTTTTTTTTTTCCTATTCAGTTTAACTAAAGTCTAACTGACCACAATGCCCTATTAAATAAAGCAAGCCCTCATGAGGGGGGCTCTGCACGGAATCTGAGAGAAAGAATGACTATTGTAGGAGGCTGTGTGAGAAAAATTTTTAAAGATATAACTCTAGAAACATGGGTATTTTACATGTGGTTAAGAGATTTCCGCTTTTACAGGTGATACTGGCTTTAAGAACACAGAACCAAAGAACTACCCTGTTTCCCTGAAAACAAGACCTAGCCTGAATATAAGCCCTAGTATGATTTTTCAGGATGCTCGTAATATAAGCCCTTCCCGAAACCCCGCCCTCCACCATTGTGCAGCATTGTGCAGCAACCAGAAGATGACATGACTATAAAATAAAACATCCCCTGAAAATAAGCCCTAATGCGTTTTTTGGAGCAAAAATTAATATTTTTGTCTTATTTTCGGGGAAACACGGTATTTGCATTCCATAAATGGCATTAGTGAACACAAATTGCCCTGCATGTTTGGTTGGTGAAGGCAAATGGAGATAAGAAAAATCAGAAGAGACAAGGGCAAGTAAATTTGAAATCCTTGACATTTTCTATCTATTCTGAATGCTGCTATCTTTTGCACACAGTGTACTGCAAATTACTAACCAGCCACTTTATCAATAGGATTTGGGGGCTGTGATTTAAAATTATGACTTTCAAAACCCATCAGACAGCATGGTCATAGTGATCATACTTGCTGGGGGATTCTGGGAATTGTAGTCCAGAACAAGAATTTTCAGAGCTTTGGTCATCTGTGACAGAAATACAAAACTTGGTATACAGCTTACCTCACGCAAAGATGTTGTTTCTCGTATAAAAAACATATTGATTATTCCAAGATATTTAGTTATCTTTGCCCCGGGGATAAAGGAAAGAGGTGTCATCTTAACAACTGGCACTGTAGAATTAATGCCTGATGGACTGAAACGGTTATGAGAATGTCCTTCTGTCAAGGGGCTTGGCTTGTCAAGAGACACGGCTGTACACACCAGGAGAAAAGAAAGAAAGAGGACAGGAGGATTACCACTCAGTATACACACACATGCGTTGGGACCTCCAGCAGAGCAACCCTTCCGTATGGTTTCCAAATAGCTTGGTGACAACATTCAGCTGCCTGTGATGCTCAGCCAAAGAAAGGAGATAATCATGCAGCACATGCAAACAAGAGACAAAAAGCTTGAATGGTTTTTTATTTTGGAAGAAGAGTGGCATTCCTGCAAAAGAAAACACTGAGGCCAGTGGCTGCACATACAAATGATCAGTTATCAAGTGAACACATGGGGAGGGAGGAAGGGAGTGTTTGGGAAAGGTGTCACAATTTGATTAAAAAAAATTCTGCTAAAGGGAACAACAAAGGTCTACAGGAAAGAGTGTGAAAGTTGACAAATTTCTCTAGTCCAGAATTTTTCAAATTTGGGAGGGTGTGTGCGTGCGTGATTCTTCATTGTTGTCAGCTTCCTGATCAATCTTCATCTTGAGTAACTACAGCGAAACAGTCGTTAAGTGCAGGCCACTGAACTACTTGGACAAAAATTAACAAGTCACCACTTTTCTAATTCAAAGATTAATGCCATTGGATATCATGCAGGTGATCCTTGCATGTTATGAGTAATTTCACTGAACTATACATACATTTTCTGCTGCACTGAGTAAGTATAGCTTTTCATTATACAATTCACAAGCCTATTTATCCCCTATATATGACTAGCAATTTGCTTTTGAAGCAATGGGAGTGCTCCAAAATTAGCCCAGCAATTTTTTTTTAAAGAACAGACGGTGTAGTCTGCAGCTTTCACACTCGCACACTGATTTTTGCAACGCCACTACTGGGTACGAAGCTCCACCCCTTTGCCACTGAGAGATCAGAACTATGCTTCCAATGATCAGAAGGTGGTAGAAATGGCCGCCTACTTGTCTTAATTGATCCACGCCTTATGGTCTGAGCTTTCAGTTTAATGAATTCTATCCAGCTGTTGCATCTGTCTGCAAAGGAACTGTAATCAACTGACGTTGCTGGAAACACAGACAGAAAAACAAAAGAAAAAAACAAAGAAAAAATATGGATGATGTCCCTTTTGCCCACTGTAGCACTCTTTCTGATGAACCAGTCTATCTAAGAAAAAACACTGTTCCCCATAGCTTAAAAAAATACACCAGGCCTCAACACTCTGCCTGTTCAGTTGGACATTAGTAATTGGAGAGTAGCAGACAATCTGCCTAGCATACACACTTTGAAACTCATCACTGGAAAAACATATTTATTAATGAAAATATGTATATTATTACTGAATTCACAAGAGTGTGTACCATCATGGGACTGTATTACAATTGTGTAAAAACACAGGAAGTGCTCATCAGAGCTTTTGGAAAAACCAACTATAATAGTTTTGTGGATTCTGCCATCATTGCCAAAGCCATTTCTGGAATCCATGTCAGGGCTAGAACTGGATAGCAGAAATTGGGCTTTCTGCTACAATATTGTACTAGATTGCCCAGAAAATGATGTGTATGTACTTCTCATTCATCCAGAATGAATTTGGGGGAAAAGGCCCAGAGCAGACGCTTGATGGTCTGTACAAACTGAATACAGGAGTGTGTTGAGACACCAGTGCGAATTTTAAGAAAAGACAATGTGAACTGGTGCCTCTACAATCCCTACAATTTTCAAAATTGTGATGCAATTGGAAGTCACTGTTACTATGTAGACCATGGTAGTAGGTCTAAATAGAGGTAGAACACCTACGTAAGGCCTGACGACCCTGAATATTCTTGCAGATTTTGAGATGTCTGCTAACTGATATGTGGTACCACAGTTGAGGCAAAAGATCTAGCAAATCTGATTGGGTTAATTTAGATGCAAAGAATTATAGCCTGGCAAATGGAACACAATTCATTCAGTCTGTCTCCCCATACAGTGAAAAACACCATTTTGTTTATTACGCAGAAACAAAGCCTCAGATAATTGGAACAAGGCTGGACTAATAAGAAAATGTCCATATTCTTTAGAAGTCCTTAGAATGCAGTATTCATATTTTAGGATACAAATCTTCAGCAAATAAAAATAAATCAATAAAATGAAATCTCTCAAGGAAAGAAGTAGGCAACCTCCAGAGAGCTGAACAATTGCACAGGGCCACCACTGCACATTGGAGAGCCTCACCCAAACCTCACATGCATTCCGAAAAACTCCTCACAAAATGAGGAACAGCTATTGAAACCAACCCTTGAGCCCTCCAGTGATCCAAATATTTTAAAAATACAGATAGTGTATTGGGGGCATTTGGCTTTCAAAACCTGCCAGAATTCTCCCACACCACCTGGTGGATATAAGGGGACTTTGAAGCAAAATGTTTTTTTGAAATATATATATTGATTTTTAGAGTATGCATGTGGTGAGGGGCAACTGGGGGTCTACCTGCAGCCTATGGGCCACGTGTTGCCCACCCCTGCATTATGGCAACAGCTTAGCTGATGTCAGTTGTGGTCCTGGATCAGATTTGCTTTCCACTAGCATTCAAAACTCATCAACCAAGGTTCATGAATTTATTGGGTCACCTCACCAGATCAGAGGACCAATCATTATTTTCAACTGTACTGAGATAATTAGTTTAAAGATTTACTTTTAAATCTTAGGATTTCCTGATGAGGAAATGTGCACATAAAACAAACACCACACGCCAGCCCTTCCCTGATCATGGGGTCAAAGCACTTTCTTTAAGATACACACCCTCCATTACAGGTAAAATTAGAGGATTGGATTACTAACCTGGGAAGCTTAACTATGTTCCCTATTCTTGCAAACATTAGCTATCCTTAGCGTAAGGACTATTTTTTACAAATCTATGCCAATACCAATAAGCCACATCAGAGCATGCTTTCCAAGGTAACAGGTACATACATTCTGAATGTTTAAAGTCATGTTCCAACTGCACTCCAACAGACCCAGGAATGCATTCTCTGTTCTGGCTTACATCTAAATCATGAAAAACTCACCTCTTTGGACAGCTGGTATACCTGTGTGGGAACTTGCATTCTCCAGGTCCTCTAGTAAGACAAAATGAATTCCACTGATGTGACATAGGCAACATTAGCTCAATTAATACACATTTTTCTTTTAAGTTTACTTGTTAGTGAGTCATCTGCTAGAGAAATTCCTCTGTTCTTTTCTTCTGGTTTCTATATCACACAATGGTTTTGCACAGTCTATTACCATAACATAATGCCATAAACACTGTACTGCATTCCCTAATGACAAGAAAAATGATAGTTGAAAATGACACTTAAAAATCTACCTCTCTATTTTTGCCTTTCAATCCCTAAGCATCACAGGAACATCTTGGAAAGCTAATTTCTCACAGCTTAAAGAGAGCAAGAGTAACATTTGCAATTTTCAGCTGAAACTACGGAAAAGTAAAACACAGGGTCTACAAAACAACTTTGCTGTCTACATTCTACAATGATAGCCAAGCAGCAATCAGTTTTAAAGGCTAACAAAGCATTAGAGGCTGATATTTGCAGTAGCCAATAGATTAATATAGAAATGAAGGCTAGAGAATTAATTAAACAGAGAACAGAACATTACGATTACAAGTTTATTCAAACAACGCCCAAACTATATAGGCTTTGGTTGTAGAGCACACAAGCAGTATTTATAGACTAGACTATTTTGCCAATATGCATTGGGATCCACACACAGAAGCTTTAGGCAAATCACAGTCTCCATTATGCATACACTTGACAGTCTCAGGAGCAGGATTGGCTGGCAATATTTTGACATTCCACCAGGCATAAAAATGACTAAATTAGAGATGGGAAATACTTCTTTTCGGACGATACATCCCAGGATCAGTCAGCACAGTCCCTAGATTCTGAGGGCTGCAGTCCAAAAACACAAGAAACATTTCCATCTCCGATGTGGCTAGTGTAGCACTCCACAATAAGGTACCACCAGATATGTTTGACTACAGCTTCCAGAATCCCCCAGATACCAAAGAAATGGCATAGCCTTTTGGCAAGATTCCAGACTGGTTGCTCCCAGCTGATTCTTACAGGCAATATGTTAACTTTTGTGCAGAAGAAACAAGGGTACCAGCATATCTCAAAGCAGAAATCTGGAGGAAATGAGGGCACACTTTACTATTTTTAAAGTAGCAGATTTCTTAAAAAATGTGATGGGAAACAGCAATTTTGAGAGAAAATTATATCTCACAGAAATTTGTAGATTTTCATCCAGAGATCCAGAATCCACTTTATTCCCCCCAAAAGATAGGTGACCAAAAACCCTAGATTAATGCTCACTTCCTTACATCTACACAAGTTTTGTAGATGTACACTTGTTTGGACAGAAACTTTATGTTCAACTTTGCCTTATGATGCTCAGAAGAAGAGGAAGAGTCATTCAAGGGCAAAGATAGTCTATTATATCAGGACCTGCATAGGAAGACAGAGAAGGAATTGGGTCTGTTTGCATCTTTTTTGGTGGCTAGCATCAGACCAACATGACCCTGTAGTTCATCAAAGCTCTGCCAACTTCTAGCTAGTGGCAGTTTTGTTTCCACTATGCAGCAATGAAGTCCATCAGAGCACCTGGTCTCCTCTCAACCTACTTGCACAAGTCAACTGTATTGCTTCCTCATAATTATGAGAGGTCAAGCCAATTCTGACTTATGCCAACCCTTTTCATGGTTTTCTAGAAGTGATTTATCATTCTTTTCTTCTGGGGGGCACTCTGGGACGGTGCAGCTTGTCCAACTGGCTATTTTCCCAGCAGGCACAGGGCAGAATTGAACTCCCAATCCACTGAAATCCACAGCCACGTACCCCAACCCACTCAGCTATCCAGCCAGCTATCTCCTTTTTATTAGTCAGCTACCCTATGATTGTAGAAAGAAAAAGCCCAGTGAAGGAAGGTCACTTCTTCACTGGTTTGTAAAACTAACCAAAATAATTAATTGGACAAGAACTGGGAGCAACATGTTTGTATCAGTATACCATGAAGTCTAACTTGCCTAAAATGTACAGCTTTGTTTTAAACTGCACATATGCTCACAATGCAGTTTTATCCTTCAAGGTGTTAAAAGTGAAAAGTCTCAAAAATTCCCTTTCAGAATGCAAGGAAAAATTGAGCACTGAGATCTTAACTTGCTCCTAAGAACAATGAATGTTTACAATGAAATAAACATTTGAGAACTGTAGTGGAATTGAGGTTTTGAATCAAATACTGTATCCTGATAGCAAGGTTGCCAGTCTTTCATAGAACATACAGCATCTGTGATTCCTAAGAAACTAAACATATGTGTGATGAACACAGGGGGATTCTGTGTCTAGCCTAGTAACCACCCCTCTCACACGATAGCTTCTAGCCACACTCATTTTCCACATGAATCACCACTGCATCCTTTTTGGGTCTAAATAAACTTTTCCACTAAGTATGTCACCTCAGGCTACACAGAAGGGGACATGTCTGAACACCAATGGTGGGCTAACTGTGATCTACCAGCTGTTAATGAACTGCAACTCCTATCACCCGTGACCATTGGTTATGTTGATCTGGATGGTTTGGAGTTGTAGTCCAATGAGATATTGCTGATCCCTATGCAAGATAAAAGTAAACTTATCATATACAGAAAGCAGGGGTATGTGTTTTAAGGTACAATTCTTGTTGCAGGCCTGGCTTTCTGGTTGTCGTAGACATTGAAAAAGCCTGGTAACATATACCCACACCTGCATGCCGAAATAATAAAATCACATGCTATTTTTCCTGATGATGTTAATATTTATTAATCTGCTTTCATTGTCATCATAATCACCACCACACTTCATGACCTGCAACTTCTACCATATAGTTTACATTTGCTGGGTTGCTTCTTTCCTACCCCATCTTTCAAATAGAACCTTCGCTTCTTTTGTCCTCACAGCTTATTTTCTTTGTGTCTAAAATCATGCTAGCATGAGATACAGTAGGACCCCCATATTCACAGGGGATCAGTTCCAAGCCCCTTGCCCCTCAGATGCTGAAAAACACAGATTATTTTAATAGTGAACACTGTACATAGCATGGTCTCTGGCTTTATCTAGTCTCCAGTTCTGGAAATGACACTGTAGAAACATGTGTCTCTAGTGAATGTTATACATCTCGGGCTCCATCTAGTAGCCAGTTCTGGTAATTTTATCATTAAAATATATATTTGTCGATATTTTTCTTTTAATGTTTTCAGACTGACTAGGTGAATAAGCAAATACTGATCTCATGGATAAGAGGATCCTAGTGTATACTCATTTTTAGCAATATAATTTCATTCAAGATTTTTTGGAGAATTGCAGACTAATGATAAAATATCAAAACAGACAATCTCAGTTAATGACACAAAAATCCAGTAATTTGTACTTACCTCCTTAACTTTTACAGAGCTTAACTTCTAGTTTTACCATTGATTTCAAACAATATTTTGTTCCACTTTGCCTGTACCCCTGATATCTACAATTAGTTCTGTGCAAACTTTATAGCATAACAGAGATGGCAGGATTTCAAGAGATTATCAAATTTGAATTCCCTATCCAAACCAAAATCCTTCATACATTACTATCTTAACAAACATATCCTTTACTACATGGACTTCAAAACACTCCAAGCACATAACAGAAATGATCAAGGTATGGGATGGTCAAGAAAGACTCAACATTTTAACATGGTAGAGATTTCTTAGACAAGCCTTTAATATTCCTGCACAAACCGATAAACTGATGTTTGCAATACTGTCAAAAAAGTTTGTTTGTAACACTGGAACAGGGCTCAAATAAAACCCTACGAAACTCAGGGAAATTTCTACACTCTTGACCTGTTGCATGTTGTGACATGCATGAAAATGACATTGTTGCCCTTTACAGGTTGCTAAAACAGTAATGCAGCATTGTGAGACTCTAAATAATGGCTTTCAACAGCCAGGAAAAACCAGACGTTCTCCTTCAACTGTTGTCTTTTTTTTTTTTTTTTTTTTTACAACTGTTGTCTTTTTTTTTTTAGTATCACTGTTGTTGACGGTTAAACAGACTTTTCAAGTTTATGAACTACTCTTGTTTAATGGAAGCAACTGTATAATAAGTGCACACACTACACAGACAACGTTGACTATTGTATGCCACTTTCAATGCTGGGGGGAAATTGCTTTTTTTCTACTCCCAGTATGTTAGCTTTATTCTGCTGTCCATGGTGCTGATCTCCCCCCCCTTTTTTTTTTTGGTAGATTGTTGTCTTAGAATGTCGACTATATAAAATCTGTTTTTTCAACTATCTGAATGCTGCTCGGCTAAAGAAAATTTGCTGCTTACTGCTGTAGAATCATTACCACACAATTTGTTATAGGAAATTTCTTGTTTTCAGAAAAAAATTACTTGTCTTCAACAAAACATCAATGGATGATCATGCCAGTTCAAGGAACAGCACAGTTTAACTACAATGATTTATTAGTTTAATCTGCACTTCTGACAACCATGAAGGGCCATGTTCCAGCACAGAGCTGGAGAACCATAAGCAGGGAGTGGAGGTGGGTGAGAGGATGGATCAATACTTCTACTGTTTTCCATGTCCTTACATTCTACATCATGGCCATATACTATAGCTCAGCTAAGTCAGCATGGAATATGTTAACTAGAGTTCCATTTAAACCTTTTGACAGGAACAAATAGATACTGAGCTGGCTCTCTAGCAAGTATTTCTTGCTAACACATATGTCATACTCGCACACTTTACTTAATTTAGGGTAACCATATGTTAAACATCGCCTTTTGTGGCTCTGTGAAGAAACGTGGGTAGAGTCTGCTTAAGTAAAGGACCATGACAGAAGGAAGTGCTATCAACTTTTCCCGAATCCCCAAGTCCCAGGTAGGCACTCTTGCTGAACAGGTGTCCCAAGCACATAGAGACATGCTCTGGTGTGTGCATTTCCAAGCAATTACGTAAACATCCTACTGCCAAATAGGCAAGCACAGTTAATACCTGAGAAAGAGGAGCTCTGATAAAAGAAGGCTCTTCTACAGATCAAGGG